TTATTTTCTACTCTGTGCTAAATGTGTCGACGTCATACTTCGTTTTTCGAAATACTATGCATGTTTTTAATTTCCTTGTGTTTTCTCTAGAGCGTTCTTGTCAGACAGAGCGTTCTTGTCAGACAGAGCGTTCTTGTCAGACAGACAGCGAAACTATTAGTATTAATATCAATTATCTAGAGACTTAAATATTCATGTCCAAAAAAAAAGACTAAAAAGTACAAAATAATTATCATTAAAATTTAAAAAAAAACACGTTTTCTGATTAAACTAAAAAGTAGAAAATAAATGCTATACATTACAATAATGCAAGCGATCACTCTACTTTAAGCGATCGCAAACTGCGTGCGCATTATGACAAAAAATGAAAAACGTGGGGCGCCGTGATTTTCTTACAGTTTCTAATACTGTTGACTCTCTACAAGCTCCCTAATAAACTCAATAGTATTATCTAATCAATAGTAATATAACTTTTACATCTTATATTAACAATGACAGATAAAAAACTTTTACTTCGGCGCCCCACGTTTTTTTCATTCTACTTTTTAGTTCAATCAGAAAACATGTGTTTTTATTTTTTTATTTTAATGATAATTATTAGCTTTAAGTATCATCTAATACAAGAATGAACGGATTTATCGATCTAGGTTCTAGATCTAAATCTACGGGAAAACTAAACTTAAGCCAGACACAGATTCTACATCTAGATCTAGCTCTATCTAGATCTGGAATCTATGTCAATAATGAGTTTCTATATTAAACTATTTCAGAAATTAATCATTGTATATAAATCTTCGTTTGCTTAGCTATTGAATTGGTTAATTCGGGATATAATTTAATTTGAAATAATAGGGTCTATTAGCGTAAGTAAAGTTTCTTATTTTGCAGCCTCTAAACAAATCATACAACTAATTTTGCACCTCATCTGGAGAGTCCACAAGCAAAGATGATAGTATAATAGTTAAAATGCGGTTCGTTTGGGTTCGAGATACATCATGACAATTGGTTTTTACTTTCTCGTATCTACGAAGTATAGAGAAAGTCTTGTAATCGTGCAAAAAAAATCGAGATTTTTACAAATCTCGACGTTTTACACCTCACTGATACGGAAAAACATAATTTTGCAATCTTGTCCGTGTGTCTGTGTGTCTGTCTGTCTATCTGCCTGTCTGTCCGTGTGTAAACACGATAACTTGAGTACCGTTACAGCTAGGTTGATGAAATTTCATATATAAGTATTTTATCAAAATCGTAGATCCGTATCAACTTTTGAGCGATTTCCGATAACCGGAAGTGGTACTTTTTCTACTTTGAATTTTTCAAAAGCCTATAATTTTAGTACTATTTCAGATAGATAAATGAAATTTCACATGTAAGTATAAGATCTAATTCTCTACCTTCTGTTAAATTTTGAGTAATTTCCGTTGACTGGAAGTAGTACTTTACGCTACTTCCGATTTCTTAAAAAACTAATGTAAATTTTTAAAGTACTAATAATATTGCGCACTATTATGCGCTTTTTTATTCGGCGTTCACTCGGTGTGCAATTAATTTGTCTACGAGATTTTATTCTATTTTTAAAACTTTAAGTATTTAAAATGGATTAAAAATCATGTCTGTAGCCCGAGTTCCCATCCCCTGTTATTTTATATAACAATATTCGAGAAAGTTTAGGGGAGATCACTCCCGGTTTATTTTACAAGCTTTTATTTAACTCACATCCTCTGTCGTAAATCGTCAGTCTGTCGTCAGTCTAGATAGAAACGTAGGAGTGAAAATTCGGACAGTTCTACTTGACCGATACGATTCACACTTGGCACGTGAGTCAAGACATGAAGACAATGCAATCTGAAACTAAATTTGACTTAATTGGATGCCTAATTAATTTTTTATGAATTAATTAAAATTTGGACCGAATCAATAGGCATGTCTATCCAACCACACCACACGCGCCATCACGTTCAATAGCTGCGCCATCACCTCAGTAGACGCGCCATCACGTTCAATAGACGCGCAATGGTTTTTAGTCATGTCACACTATTGTAAATAAAACATGTAAAGTACTGAAAAAAAAATTCATAAAAAAAGTTTTAATAACAAACTTTTATGTAATGATGCACTAAAAAGTAGAAAATAAATTATACACTACTATTTAAATTACTATAAAGAAAAGCGTGGGTCTCTTCTCAAATATTAGTAAAGGTATCCAATAGGTACTAAAGTACTAAAGTGACCCACGCTTTTCTTTATAGTAATTTAAATAGTAGTGTATAATTTATTTTCTACTTTTTAGAGCATCATTACATAAAAGCTTGTTATTAAAACGTTTTTTATGAATTTTTTTTTATTTTTATTTTTTAGATGTGAAGGTGAATTTTAAATGTGAATGACACATGGCAGGTGAAGTAGAGTTCACCTGTTTCTGTGTCCTCAGCATATGAAGGGATATGGTGGTCAGACCAATGATTGGTCTAATTCAGAGTTTTAAAACGATATAAACATGTTGCCTGAGACTTGGCGGGACACTTAGCAGGTGAAGTTCTGAAGTTGTAGAGTTCACCTGTGACGCCAGCATATGAAAGGATAGTTTGGTCAGACGCATGCTCAGCTATGCTCGTACGGTACTATACATGATTTAAAAATTTTCAAACAGGTAGCCTACACATAAACATTTTATTTTTTATGCTGTAAATTTATTTTTCGAACTGTAGATGTATATTATTACGTTAACAAAGGCCATTATCTATTACCATGCACTTGCTACTTTCTCATATACAGAGTAAAGTATTATAATAGTGCTTAAAAATGAGATTAATTTTCGACATTTTTCGCCGTTTTACACCTCCCAACTTTAACGTGTATCCTAATATATAATTCCCCATGTGCGCACTTCTCTCTGTCCGCAAAATATTTTCGCCGGACATCACGTCAGAATCGGCAGCAATATATGAAGAACTTTTTACGGACTTTTGTTGAAAATAATATGTTAGATGTTTTAAATGTATAACCACAATTTTATTTAAAGAAGAAAAATAAAAAATAAAGGCGTATTCGAATGTAGAGAAAAAGTATTATTTATGCAACCGGAAAAGTGTATAAACTTGGGAAAGGAACGCATTTAACAATGACGTCGCTTATTGTTTACACTAAAACACTAAAACAAGAGCACGAAACTGATGACGTCATCTTCCGAGTTTAGAATTTTAAAAAATGAACTATTTCATTCAAATATGATTTAGAGCTATGTACGCTATGAAATGTATAAATACGATTTTCTCGGCCTAAACTTAAAAAAATTATTTTATCTATTTGGATTCTAGATCTAGAGATTCTAGATTCATCTAGATCTAGATGATCTTTAAAGCTAAGTTTTCAGGTGCCCGATAGGGCACTTCCCGGCGCCGCAGGCGCTTCAAATTTGGCAGGATCTTGCCTTGGGGCGACAGAAAACGGGGGCCGGTTGGCCGAAAAGTCTACGATGAGGGGGTCAAAACTGACCTCGACTGACCGGCGCCTTATATGGGCGAATTAATTAAGCATTCAAATTCTCAATGTTTTCGAAAGCCTATGCGAAGCTGGGCAGCATGCCTAGTGTCAGTAGAATGGGCCATCAATGCGGAGTATCAAATGTGTAAAATATTTTGCGGACAGACAGAGAGAGAGAAGAGCGCACATGGACTTTTATATATTAGGATATTTGACAGCTTTGCCGTAAAAAGTTCAATAAAACAAATCTACAACTGTCGCTGCTGAGGAACTCTACTTCCTCTGTTCCATGTACAGTACACTCTGTGGCGGTAACAATGTGTTGTACTTATCTTGTTGTCAATTTAATTCGCTCTATTATAAACATTTTTTTCTCCTAACAACATCAGAACTGCTTACATTTCAGGAACTGATGTAGGTTAAAATATAGGAAAATGATTTTAAAGAAATGACTACAACCAACTGCTCTTGATGCTAAAATTGACTAAATCTTACCCTTGAATGTGGACTATCATTTAAATATTTTAAACTTGTATTTTGCAGCCTGGCTGGTGACTAATAAATTTTTAATTGTGTAATACAAAAATGTAAAACATTGAATGTTGTTAAACAGGGAAGCAACTATGTAAATACTTGTAATTCAATCTTTATTTCATTGTTACTTCCCTTTGATCACAAAATAGTTTTTTTTCCAATTTAAGGATCGCAGTAGGCCTATTTATATTTTATAGCTGAGCTTTTTCAAGAATGTTTATTTCATGCATTTGTTTTATCGTTTTAACCAAATTAATTAAACCGATATTGCCCCTAGTGTATCAATATTTGAACATAAGTAGGATTGGTGTAACAGTTGTGTATAACATTGTGTTACATATTATGTTTAAATTGACAAGCCATTCAGCCGACACGGAACACCCAGCCGAATTATTTTTCTCCAAACATGTCCAGGTACACTTCAGATCTGTGCATCAAGAAAGGTAATCGAACATGGGAATCAAACTCGTGTCCTTGGGGACAAAATGCACGTACTTTTTTACTCGACCATGTCGTCCCATTTCTCCAGTTGCTTATTAACGCCCTGCTTTACAGTTTTCATGTTAGAAAACTTTGTTTCAATGTTTTAAAGTCAAACTAGTTGTTCTATCACTTCCGATCTATCAACTGTTACAAAAGATGTTTTATAATATCAAAGTCAAAGATTGTCAATTAGAATGACAACAATGTTAACACAAATGTCAGTCAATGACAGCATCAAACTACTTTTACATTTCTATTTTAATGTAGTTTGCGATGTGTCAAAATATTTTTAAATGATTAGAATTTCACATTTGTTCTAATTATCTCATTTAAATTAGTCTTACAGGTGTATTGGGCATAAACAAATGGACTTTGTTGTAAAGTTTAAACTTACAACCCATAATAGCCTGAAGCGAACATCAACATCACAACATGCGCTGTTTGCCAACAAATTTAACATCAACAGACAACAAAGATTCAAATAACAACAGTCGAAAGATATTTCATTTTACCATTTAATGTCGTCTAGTGTGAACATTTTGTAAACAAATAAAAACAGTATGAATATGACATTTATAAAGGTAGGTTACATTTAATTTACAGGTAATAGCCAGCCTATGCCTATAGGTATAGGACAACGATTGCCGACAAAAGTTATTAGAAAAATATTTACAACACTTGAAACAAAAAAACTCTAAAACCCATCAATGTACATGCAAACGAATACGATTAAACGGTTTACATCAATTAAAACATTTGTTTTAATCATTTAAATGTAATAAAACGTTGATAAGACATGCAGGTCTTAACACAAACTGTTCAAAGACGGGAAAGGTTCCGCCATTTTGTTTGTTTACATTGTGTAGACAAGGGGAGAGAACTAACAGTTACATCAGCCCCAATGCTCCCCACTATAATTTCCTTCGGGGCTTGATCCACTGTGGGGATGGCGATACCACCCGTCATTTCCCAGCCTGTAGACATGCGCTCCACTGGAGCCTGGACATGTACATGTTGTGTACCAGTACCTGGTCTTGTAGCCATCCCTCTCCTGTCTGTGTGTCCATTGTCCTACAGAGACTTGTTTAGGACAGCCATGAGGATGTGACACTATAATGGTCAACTTGTCCACATAATAAAATCTCCCGTATTTGTCCCTTACTTTCTCACATAGACCTTTAAAGCGCCGCAACATCTTGTCCAGTTCATCAACCAACTCTAAGTCACATGTCTCACATGTAAACTCACACACATCTCTCTCAGTGTCTGGCCTACTGTCCACCCACAAACCATCAAGACTGACCCCTGGACTTTTATTGTCATCAAAACCTAAAACACACTTGGTCTGTCTCACCTCACTGTCATCAAACACCACGTGTGTGGCTGTCAACACATGAAACTTCCCCCACACTTTGCTGGGTGTGGCAGACACTTTACACTTGGCACAACGACAAGTTCTTCTGTGTTTCTCTGTTAACTTGTCCACTTGCCACACCCTCCCCGTCCCTAACCTCATCACGCGACGTCCTCTGTCCTTATAACATGGATATGGAACTTGAGTGTCTGGGTAAAACTTTGGTCTCTCTAGACTGGTGAATTTAGTCTTTACCTGGACAGTTAGGGCTGCCAATGTTTTGATTGTCTCAGACAAGAGGTCGTCGTCATGGTAACGTGAGGGGAGACAACTTGCGTTGAAATCTTTAAGAGGTATAAAACCTTTGTGACCTGGATTCTTCTTACAGCCAGCAACATGTTTGTGTAGATCAGCTTCTCCTCCATAGCACATCTCAGCTTCATGATTTCCTACAGGAACAAACAACAAATTATTTCTCTAGCAAAGAGAATGTTAGATGTAATGTTAAAAAAAACTTTTGTCTGAATAAGCTATACTAAAGTCATCTAGATGTTTAAACTAGGACATATATATTTCCTCTTACATTGTATTTGCTTTATACTTAAGTTTATCTTACCTGGACAAAACACACCTGGTTGGTCATTGATTTTATTCTTATTTTGACTTTCACAGCAAGCCAGATCTGAAACAGGTTATGAGAATGATAAGTTTCCATAAACAGTAATAGGCAATAATATAATTGCATTTAAAACAGTGGGTCATTTAAAATGAAGATACAATTGCTGACTTAAAAACAGTATGTAATACAGAAAAAACTTCTATACATACATTACATAATAAATTGATGGGTTAACTGTATTGGTGGATAAGCAGGAACATATAGATCTACATTTTAAAATTAAATTACCTGCCCATTTTATAGTGATTTAACAAGACATTTTTTCTTACCTGTAGGCCTATCAGGTAATTTGATCAGGTCGTCGTCATGGTAACTTGAGGGAAGACACATTTTGTTGAAATCTTTATGAGGTATAAAACCTTCGTGACCTGGATTCTTCATACATTCTGCAAGATCTTTGTGTAGATCAACTCCTCCATAGCACATCTCAGCTTCATGATTTCATGCAAGAACAAATAATTTATGTCTCTAGAAAAGTAACTGTTATATATGATATTAAACTGCCTTTTATTAAAATAAACTTTACTTAAGTCATCTAGATGTTATACTAGCACAGATATTTAATTGTTTACAACTAAAATTGCCTTTTATCTTAGTATATCTTACCTGGAAGGAATACACCTGCTTCGTCAGCCATTATTTGCTTATTCTGAATGTCACAGTTAGCCACACCTGAAATAATGTAGACATTAAATGTCTATCTTGCAGTAACACATAATGACACACATGACAATTAAATAATAGAAAGTCATGTAAATTTTACAGACATATTTCCACATTTTGATTTTATACTTTGTCTTTAATATGTAAGAACCCATTGGTAATTGGTTAATATGTTGTTAATATTTTTTTCAAATGGCATATGTGTAAAAAGGCCTCTGTACCTACTGTTAATGCTTTTAAATAAAGCTATGATTAATTAATATTATTACATTTATTTTAACAGTAGACAAATATTTTAACTGTACAGCTTGATAAGCCCTAACATGGATTATTTCAGATTTGTAAAATAAATTACCTGACCATTTTAAATTGAATAAACTTTTTCCTTACCTGAACTGGCTGACTAATGTTTTCCTTTTAGTTTTCTGTGGGAATTGCCAATGGACAATGCTGCTGTAGTATAAAATAAGTAACATTTTAGATCAGTAATAATCTTAAAAATTATTTAAACATCTTAAGATTTGTACTGATTCTTAAAAAAAAGTTATACTATAGGAATATAAAACAAATTATAAAAAAAGTAAGTTTCTAAATTTTTCAATACTTACAAAGGTGAAGACTCTTAAATGATTCAGCTTGAGCCTTGAATACACTACACACTTTTCTGTTCTCAAATAAATGTTGTTAGAATAAACTGAAAGCTACAAAACCTTGTAATCATGCTCTGAAAAATACACCAAAGTTTATCATCATATTTTTATAATACATATATATTACATGATGATAATACAACAAATATTTTACATTATTATTAATAAGAGTGTGGTGATAAAAGAAAATCACAAGAGTTGCTGATTTTGTTATAAAATTTTTGTTAACAAATAAGCTTATACTTGCATTTGTTTAAAATTTAAAATATAACACCAAAAATTAAAATAAATTGAATTATCAAGCTTCTTCTTCTTCTTCTTCTTCGTTCTTAATTATTAGTGTTGAAGGGGATCGAGATTTATCTGCCAGTGGGGTTGAACTCGAGACTTTCTTCGAATTTATCAACCATGAGTTTTTTGCCGACTCGACCACGCCTCCAACACAATTAAGCGGTACGTGTCAACTGGTTATGCGCCATTGAGGCCATTGACTCCGATTTCAGCCTGCTTTTCTTTTTGGATTTGCTTCCATAGCCTTTGTCCAACCAAGAACAAACTACAAGGCAGCAGTTGTTTAATTTTGGAGTTGTCTCTCCTAGAAGAGTGGCTGTCCCCAGCTAACGAGCCTCATCTGCCCGAGGGTTAGAACTCGAGACTTTTCGGTTTAGCAACCATGAGCTTTACCGACTCGACCACGCCGACCCCTAATTATGTAGCATTTATTAACAGTTTTATCATAATTCAAAGAAATAATGGTTTACAATATTTACACAGCTCAATCACTTTAATGTTGTCCTGATAAACAACCTCTTTTCTTGCTAGGAAGGAATGGCATTTGAACACACAGCAGCCATCAAATCTTCAACACCTGAAAGCATACAATTAAGGTTAGATACACACAGGGACCTTTTAAATCTTAAAAGTATTATAAAGTAAATAAATACATGTAATTAACTTAAGATTGTGCTAAGAAATATAACACCCTTTGGCCTTTGCTTATACAAGTAGTTATTCTATTATATATCAATGGCTGCTGACTGAAAGTCTCGAGTTCAAATCCGTGTCGAAGTCAAAACAAGTAAAACTACAAATAAGCACTCACTTATAGAATGCTGATCTCGATTAATCTAGATTAGAAATTAGATTTCTTACAATGTTTAAAGTTTTTAAGTTTAGTCATTCAAAATGTAAATTCTATATTCTAGTAGGCCTAGTTAGACTTAGTAGAGTAGAGCAATATGACGAGATCTAGATCTAGATCTAGATATAAATCTAGTCTAGCTAAATCTAGTCTAGATCTAAATCTAGTCTAGATCTATACAGATTATTACATTAGTTGTCTCTAGAGATTTTAAACCTTGACTCAAGTGTTGATTAGATCTAGATTCTAGTCTAGATCTAGTTTTAAAAGAAGTTTTGTTTAAACTTTAAACTAGAAATCGTAGAGAGACATAACATCATTACTCTAGGCTAGGAGTCTAGAGTAGTCTAGCCTAGCCCTAGATCTAGGATCTCTGTCTCTAGATCTAGATTATGTCTAGTCTAGATCTATCGATAGGCCTATAGTATATCTACTAGATCTAGATCTATCTACTAGTCTAGAATGTAGTAGATCTAGATCTAGGTCTGGAATAAAGTCTAGATCTAGATCTAGATTCTAGATTTCTAGTAAATAGTAGCTTTAGTTTTAGTCTAGAATTCTTATCAACTCGATACTAGAAATCTAGATCTAAATCTATCTAGATCTAGAATCTAGATCTAGTACAGTAACAGTAGGAGATCTAGAATCTAGATCTAGAATTCTAGATCTAGATTTTCTAGTAGCTATAGAAATAATACACACACAGCTGACCAACAAGATCTAGACTAGATCTAGATCTAGATCTAGATTCTAGATCTATATATTAGAATTTCTATAACTAGAATCTTTAAATGTAGATTAGATTAAAGTGTAGATTGTTAATCGTTTGACATTTTACATCTAGATCTAGATCTAACTATCTAATTAATTAAGATGTTAGTGCTAACTCTAATTACTAGTAATTAGTGTAGACCAACCTTACCAGTTTGCTAATGAAATGACGCCAAATTATCGTCTGCTGTAAAAATGCTTTTTGAAGTATCGATATCATAATTTAGCGGTTTACTTGCTATTTAGGCCTTAAGTTTGAGAAATTAGGCTATTTTACGGTGATTATTTTTTTTAAATAGCTTAAATATCTGCATATTTTAAAAACATCACGTTTCGTTTAAATTTCAACATTTCAGCTATATTGTGTATCTCAATATTAGTAGAACGTTTAAATATTATTTAAATATGGATATAGTTCACATTGACATACATAAATACTAGACAGAGGCGTAGCGAAGGGGGGGGGGGGGCAGGGGGGTACATATGTCCCCGGGCGCCGACCTTAGGGGGCACCAAAAGGTTTGGAAAAACAAATTAAAATCTCAATTTAGGTGAATTTTTGCTTTATAAATATAAAAAATATATGATGGGGGGGGGGGGGTGGAAATCGAAAGTTTGAGGGGGGGGGGGGGGTGCAAATCGAAAACTGAAAGGTTTATCCCGAAGGTGGCGCCAAATTGAAAGTTTGTCCCCGGGCGCCGGGAAGGGTCGCTACGCCTCTGATACTAGATCTATATAGTCCCATTTTCTGCGACTTTCTACCCAGAGATCTAATCATATTTTACATACTGCAGAAAAACTGATCAATAGATTAAATGAGTTTATGTAGGGGTCACTCCATGCAGATTAGTTGGCAACATTACGACATAATTAATAAGTAATTGTATTTTATGTGTTCGAAAAGGTTTCAAATGTAGATCTAGACTGTAATATATTGAGATTTGTGAAGTCAAGGGAACTCACTCTTCTTGTATTAGTTATATTTATAATGTTGTTATTGAGTGATGTCCCTTGTATTTATCTATCGTTACTTCCTGTTCCGGTTTCCATTATGTTAGCTGAGGCCCAATAAAGTTCTATATACAAACAGCATGGTTTCTGTCGTCTATATTTCAATCTATTACAACTGGAGACGAGGATAAATCAATCGACTTAAAAGAGCACATGCTTACTTTAAAAAAAGCTTGCTAGAGCATATTGGCTAAGTATTTCTAGGATAATGGCGCTGTATGGCCAAATAAAAGAATTTGATTCGAATGATGAAACCATTCATGATTATCTAGATAGGTTAAGCTTTTACCTTGAAGATAACGACGTGACGATAGAAGCCAAAAAGAGAGCTGTTTTGTTAACAGTCATAGGGCCTCAACAATTTAGGCTACTAAAGGACTTATGCGCACCAGCTAGTCTAACTACCAAGAGCTTTAACGAGCTGAGCAAACTGCTAACAGACCACCATGCGCCCGCACCATCAAAGTTCCTGTGTAGAGCCAAATTTGACGGTAGGACTCGTCAACCAAACGAATCAATATCAGAATATGTTGCTGCTTTACGTCATCTAAGTAAATTTTGTGAATTCGGAGACAAGCTGTCTGACAGACTTTGTGAAAAGTTTGTGACAGGTGTAAACAGCCCTGATGTTCAAAGAAAGTTGCTTCTCGAGTCAGATCTCACATTGGAAAAAGCAATACAACTTGCAACTTCATTCCAGCAGTCATCCGATGCGGCGTGATCTCTAGCACCCTCAGGGATCCATGCAGTAAACAGCAGGTTAGTCAACAAACACCAACCCCATCAGAGCATTTCAACTTATGCTAAACAGCCTGCACGTTCAAATCCTAGATCTAAATCTAGTAATAATGATCAAAAATGTCATCGATGCAAAGGTCCCCATGCATCTCATCGATGCAAGTTCAAGTCAGCAACTTGTTATAAGTGCAGTAAGCAAGGTCACATTGCCAAGGCCTGCTTTGCAAAGTCTTCGTCTGTTGCTAAATCTAGCCAGTCAAGACAGTACCGCAACCAAAGGCAGCACTATGTTAACTCTCACCAAGACTACCTAACCCAACCAATGAACCACTCTACCTGTGAAAATGCTCAAACTGATTCGCAGCCGGATTTCAACCTGTTCTCTGTGAAATCAATAAGTCATGCTCCCATCAATGTACTAGTTTATATCAACGGTAAGAGCATCAGCTTCCAACTTGACACTGGAGCATCTCTAACAGTCATCACAAAGAAGGACTTTGACGCTGTCACAGGAGGATCAGTGCCTCTACAACCATGTCACAAGTGTCTAACAACATACACTGGTGACAATGTTCCGGTGATAGGAGAGTGTATGGTTCATGTAAGCTATAATGGTCAAAGTGTTAAACTTCCTCTTCTTGTGGTTGAAGGAAATGGACCACCATTACTAGGTAGGAACTGGTTAGTTGATCTTAAGTTAAATTGGGAGAGTATATTTTCAGTGAACAAAGCAAGAGAATCTATTTTTACTTCAATAGATAAAGTTATATCTGAAAATAAATGTGTTTTTGGTAATTCAGGATTACTAAATGATAGAACAGCGAAGATAAGCATTAAAGACACAAATCCAAGATACTGCAAAGCTAGAGTTCCACCTTATGCAATGAGGGATAAAATTGAAAATGAGCTAAGTAGATTGGAATCTAATGGCATCATAAAGAAGGTAGACTATTCCGATTGGGCAACGCCCATTGTGCCAGTGTTAAAGAAGGATGGTTCTGTAGGAATTTGTGGAGACTATAAAGCCACACTGAATAAACAAATAGAGCTAAATAGGTATCATATTCCTAACATTGAAAAAATTTCTTTGAATTTGGCAGGAGGAGACAAATTCACTGAATTGGACTTTAGTCATGCTTACACTCAACTAGAACTGCATCCAGATTCAAAAGTATATACGACAATAAACACACATAAAGGACTCTACCAATATGAAAGACTATGTTTTGGTATATCATCTAGCCCTGGAATTTTCCAGGCTGTCATGGACAGTATTTTTAAGGATATTCCAAATGTTTGTGTTTACTTTGACAATGTGTACATAACTGGTAAGAATGACACTGAACATTTTAAAACACGTCATAAAGTCTTGAAAATAGATAAATGTCAATTCATGCTGACAGAAATTAGTTTTCTTGGTTATATTTTAAGCAAGCAAGGCATCAGACCTCAACCTGAGAAAACAAAAGCCATTAAAGAAGCACCCAAACCTGAAAATACCCAACAACTAAGAGCTTTTTTTTGGGCTTGATAAATTACTATGCAAAGTTCATAGGAAATCTGTCTGGTAAACTATCACCACTGTACAAGCTGCTGCAGAAAAATGCAACTTGGCACTGGGGTAAACAACAAGATGCTGCTTTTAATGCAGCAAAAGAAGCTTTGTCTTCTGACACCTTACTAACTCACTATGACCCAGGGAAAAGACTTATCTTAACATGTGATGCTTCACCAGATGGTGTAGGAGCAGTCTTATCCCACATAGATGAAAAGGGTGACAGACCCATTGCTTTTGCCAGTAGATCTTTGAACCAGGTTGGGAAAATTATTCTCAGTTAGATAGGGAAGGCTTAGGCATCATTTTTGGTGTTAACAAATTTCACAAGTTTCTGTTTGGTAGGGAGTTCACCATCTTTACAGATCATAAGCCATTGCTGGGTTTGTTTGGGGAAAACAAACCCCTGTCTGAGCATGCCTCACCAAGAATTCAAAGATGGGCTATCACACTAGCCGCATACCATTATGAATTGAAATACAAACCTGGATCTGAGAATAGTGCAGATAGTCTTAGTCGATTACCTTTAAAAAACCAAAGCCTTGGTTATGTACCAGAAGATGTATTTGTTCTTTTCACTATCATGGATAACTCCAATATAAATGTGAATGATGTTAAAAGAGAAACATAAAAAGATGAGTGCTTGATAAAAGTATATGAGTACTGTAGGAATGGTTGGCCTGAAGAGTCAGTGAATGATGATTTAAGATTTATATATGATGATATAACAACAGGTGTTGCACCATGTGAATTGCTGTGTGGTAGGACAATTAAAACTCATCTTGGCCTACTACATCCAACTGTTCAAAGGTCTGTTTACCAACATCAACATACACAAAAATTAAATCATGACAAAACATCCATTGAAAGAGAATTTAGAGTTAATGATAATGTGTATCTGACAAATTATGGGAGAGGGGAAAAATGGATACCAGGTCAAATTGTTCAATGTACAGGACCTGTGTCTTATAAAGTAAAAACAAATGATGGACTTATTGTCCGTAGACATGCAGACCAGTTAAAAATAACTTGTGCAGATAATAAGTGTGAATCTATCAATCCCACCAAATCGGATCAGTTCACACCAACTCAGTTTGTTCCACAACCAAGTTCTGTTGATATGAGTGAACCAAGTAGTCTAGAGTCAGAAAATGTAAATTCTGGAATTAATGATTTAGATCCTAGACCTCCTGAGATAGAGAATCCATATGGTCAGAATCTTGAGTCACCAAATCAAAAGCCACTGAGAAGGTCAAACAGGACAATCAAAGTCGCAGATAAGTTAAACCTATGATTGTAAAGGTCAAAAGGACTTTGACATCATTGTTTTGTATTTTAATTATGTTGTAGCATAGTTTGCATTTGTTGTAAGGATGTAATCTACCAAATGATTCAAATCATATAATGTTCAGGTTACAATATATTTGGTGATTTTAGGATACTATCAATTGTTCTATTGAGAGATGTGTTGTTGTTTACTAACGGTAAAGGGATGTAATATATTGAGATTTGTGAAGTCAAGGGAACTCACTCTTCTTGTATTAGTTATATTTATAATGTTGTTATTGAGTGATGTCCCTTGTATTTATCTATCGTTACTTCCTGCTCCGGTTTCCATCATGTTAGCTGAGGCCCAATAAAGTTCTATATACAAACAGCATGGTTTCTGTCGTCTATATTTCAATCTATTACATAGACATTTTCAATTTTTTCTTGGTAAATTCAATTTGATTATTTCCGTTAGTTTTAAAAATATTAGATCTATGTCTAAGGAGAAACAAAAACCAAAGTGTGTATTTGAACCAATGCTAGAATTATTTAACAATAACTTACTTCAGATCGACTTTACTGTGATTTACTACTTGTACATCACAGCGTAGATAGATATAAATAAGACTTGACTAGTAGAAATTAATTAGGACGGTGTAAATTTTAGTTCTTTTTGACAGTATACGATTTGGTTCGAGAGTATGTGCGCGTGTTAAAATATTTGTAGCGTGAGTGTGACGCGACAATGTTACCGATGACATAGGACGAAGGAGTGAAGACAGTTAGGGGTTTAGCTATTGTAGAGAAAATGTGTGTTGTATATTTTTAGTGTATTTTTAGTGTGTTTAGTGGTAGTAGTTGTTAAGAAAGTTAATTATATATATTATTATTTGCTAAAGCAATAATTTGTTGTATGTTTCTGTAGAAAATCGTGAAAATCCATACGCTATAAAGGAGTAGATGATCAACACAAACATGTTGATATTATTAGTGTGGTCGGAAGTAAGCGTGTTCCCGTCCTCATCACATGTTTATAGTTGGAGTGTTAGAAATAGAAGTAGTCATCATATTTAACGCATACATTCCTCCCGACACTATACATACATACATACATATATATATATATATATATATATATATATATATATATATATATATATATATATTTATTTATTTATTTATATTTATATATATATATAATGTATTTACTTGTGTTATTGTTTCTGGTAATTAAAAAGCTGTCATTTATTATATGGAGTCAAAATGTTCTTATCTCCCTTATTAAATACGTACACTTTTAATTCACCCCTATAGAAACGATATTTCCTTTCGCGAAAAAAGATTCCTCATGTACGAATTACATTTTTCAGTGTTTCAAAAATCATTAGCCACTCACCCGATACTTAGTCACTTCAAACAGCCGTTTAGCTGACTACGGGCAACTGCTAGCTAAATATAAAGACAACGTTAAAGTATTAACCTTTAACTACGCACTTCATATTTTTTTTAGTGAATGATAAATTTTGTTTGATTTAATTTATTAAGAATAAATCAAAGAATAATATTTCAATTTATCAAATTAAATATGACATATTTAATTTAAAGTTAAGAGGTAATTTTTTAATCGAATCAATTAAACTAATAGAACTAGATAGAGATATAAAAAATTGCATACATTCACCAACAGTTCGTTTCGGCCTATGTTGATATAAAATGGCGATCCGTCACAAAGTGCTATTATTAGTACCACGTAAGTTCGGTAATCTGGGGTTTTCCCGAAATTATATATAATGTCTAAATCGTACAAATAATAACTTCTCCTATTGACTTTGCCTGAATAAGTTCCAATGTAGTGCAAATTTAGCTTTTTTTTTTTTTGCATATTCAATTCTTGTTTTGTTTTCGACTATGTGAAAATGTGCTTTTCTAGGGAGAAACATAAACGCCAGTGGTATTTTTAGAACAAGAGAAAGTCCCGTCATCTGATATTTTCCCGATTTATCAGCCTACAACGTAACCTAACGAGGCGCATGGGGATGGGGTGGGTTGAGAAAGGAGAGGAAAAGACACATAAAGAAAAAGTTAAGTGTGTGTCGTGAGGGGGGGGGGGGGGTGCTGAATGTAAACTTAATTTTGATATAGATCAATTTTCAAAAAAATTTCTTGTGACCTATTTTGACCCATTTTTATGATGCAAAATATAAAATCTTTTTTTTTGTACACTAAAATTGTCAATGTTTAATTCCGTGTGTTTTTAGAGAAGTCGAAGCTTAATTAATGATATGGGTACGAGTTAAATTTTCTTTTTCTTAGTCAATATAAAATGTATAATTTTGACTCGTTAATTCTATCGGAAAAATTATACACACATTTATAATTTTATATCTCTTACATTATTTTAACAGTTTACATGCTTATTACACGTAAAACCATGCTATGATATAATATACCTTGATGTTATTGTTTCTAGTAGTTAAAAAAAACGTCATTAAAAATTTGAGTTAGAACTTCCTACTTCACTGCAATAACTACACAAAATGTTAATCCACCCCATATGAACTACGTTACATTTATTTCCTAGAAAAATTCACAAACGAGTTACATTTTTATAGCTTCGCAGAAATCAGTAAAAATAACTACCCACTCCCCACCCACCTCTTTAACACAGCGGTTAAGTTTACTACGGGCAAATGCTTAGCTAATAAATCCAGTATTTACGACATGTTTTGTGATCGGCAAATTATGTAAGTATTTAATCATTAAAACAAATTAAACTTAAGTTTATTTGATTAAATAGGACTTATTTATTTTAAAATCAGCAATAATTTACAATCAAATCCACTACATTAATAAAATTAGGTAGAGAAATACTCAGTGTTTCTTCCAGACTTTTTTCTCCGGGGGGGCACTTGAAATGTTCGGGGGGGGCGGTAAATTTTCTTCGGGGGGGGGGGGCGGACACTGTTAAAAGTATATATTTTCTATATAAATTATATAAATTTCATTTCGTTCGGGGGGGGGGGGGGGGCGGTAAAAAAATTTCGGGGGGGGGGGCTTCGCCCCCCCCGAAGAGATGCCTGGAAGAAACTCTGGAAATACTAAGTACATACCTTTAGCAACAGTTCGTATAGGGCTATGTTCAATCGAAATGGCGACTCCTCATAAAGTGTTATTTTTAGTACCACGTAAAGTCCGGGTTTATGAGGTTTTCCCGATCTTATTTAATATGTCTTGGACATTGCCATTTAGGTTGTACCTGACTACAATTCGTAAGAGGTGTAGAAACAGAAAACATTACAACTAAAATAAGTTATTAAAATAAACAGTTTTTAAAAAAATAATTAAATTTATGTTTTAGTTTAAAGCTCCATTCTATTTTTTGTTTAAAATAGAACATATAACAATCCATGGTTTGAAAACACTATTCAGTTTTCTTTACAATGCAATTCTTTTTATGATGTATTGTCAATAAACTATTTTATATGATGTATTGTCAATAAACTATTTTATATGATGTATTGTCCATAAACTATTTTATATGATGTATTGTCAATATACTCCCCATCGCAACTTGTTAAATTAGCTTTTACTGCAATTAATATTGACATTATATACTCATTTTTTGTTATCGTTCACGTGTATTTATTGATTATAAATATCCACATATGCATCTCTCTCTCTCTCTCTCTCTCTCTCTCTCAATAAATTTGTCGGTGTGTTCGTTTGTGTGTCTTATATGCATTACAACACCTTTTTTCAATCACCATGGAGCTTTGGGAAGTTGTTGAGAATACTCATATTGGTATCTTAGTGAAAGTCATAAAGCCAATTCATTAGAGACGAAACTTATAATATATAATCATTTATATACGTAAAGTAAACTGTTTTTATTAACTTGAAAAGCAAGATGGCTGCTAAAGTAAATGAGCTTGTTTGCATCTGATCAAAACATCGCTAATCTTTATTTATTACTGAAAAGTTTTAATACAATCGTTTAAAAACAGGTGCATAAATGAAAGTTTGAAACATTTTTGTAATTTTTAAAACATCTTTCTAAAAATATAAAATAATTACAAAAATTTTATGTGTCACTATTTTCTCACACTACTAGCCTCGGCCGATTTTACGTACCTACAACAATAGATTACCAAAGACAGAATGATTATTAAACTAATAATCCCTAATAAAAACATAACAATTACCTACCTTTAGCCAGAAATATGACAGTTTTAAACAAGTATTATTAAAATCATTAAAAAGTCCAGAATTTTAGTTTTCCCAACTATAAATACATAGCTTAAGTGTTCCTAGTGGGTTTTTTTTTAAATACACAAGTCATACATATGGGAAGTTAAACTATTAGATTGACAACTTTTACTCTTCACTATCATAAGACTTTAAAAGGATTTTCAAATACAGATAAAATAAATGAATAAGAAGATGGAGATTGGGGAGGCGGGGTCAATAAAAAAATATAATTTTAAACTTTTGCAACTGAAACATAGATTTCAGAACATATTTAATATTTTGCACTTTTAAAGACCACTATTTGTAAACTGCATTTAAAATTGATAAAAAAAATTAATGTTGACTTTTTATGAAAAAAAAATGTGCTGTGCATAAAACGGGTTGGGGGTGGTGGTAATGTAATCTTTTGATGGCAATATGACATTTTGTAACGATGCGTGACGGTGGGGATAGTCGGATTTAAAAATGTGTTTCAATTTATGCTTGACGTAATACTTCCTATTCTCGTGACGTTCAAAACAATATAAAACGTGAAAGCTTTGTGTCTGTGTATAATGTTTTTCTTCTTGTTTTTATTTTTTTTTATTTATATCATTAATTTTTCATAACTTTTCTTTTTGATAATACGTCATTTTTAGTATGTATTTAAAAAAAAATGAAGAGAAGTAGTTGCTTATTAATTTCTTTAGTAGAAATCCATCAAAAGGACCACACAAGCATTTAACTATTTTAAAAAGGGAACTAAGTCATGGAAGTGGTTTGAACGTTTGTCTATATTTCACACTACAGCTAATGCATATTTATTTTTTTACGCAAAAGCATGTGTTAGCTACTGTATAACATCAATAATGTGGTAGATCTGTTTGTTATTGACAAAATGGGGTGGGGTGGGGGGTCTGGCTTTTTGTGACATTGTGTGACGGAGGGGAGCGGGGAGGTTAAAAATCGTCAAAAAAAAGCGTGACGTATATTTATGAATGACCCCAAAACAAAAATAAGTAAACGTACATACAACCGAAATTATTGTTATTATGTTCTTTCTTACTATTTGTAGAATACAGGATAGTACAGAATAGCAGTTCAGACTTTTTTCTCCGGGGGGGGGGGGGGAGGGGCACTTGAAATTTTCGGGGGGGGGGGGGCGGTAGACTTTTTTTAGGGGGGGGGGCGGACACTGTTGAAAGTATATATTTTCTATATAATTTTCATTTCGTTCGGGGGGGGGGGCGGTGGACATCCTTCGGGGAGGGGGGGGGGGCAGAGACCCCCGAAGAGATGCCTGGAAGAAACTCTGACAAAGAAGTATATTTTGCATTGTAAAATCACAACCAACGCTCCTAACCAAAGCTATGAAGAAGCAAAAGTCGTCTAAATATCTATTGTGCCAACTTCTGCTTGTACTTGATTGCAGAAGAAAGAGGATTCGGCTTTCACAATGGTTTAAAAACCAAGGGAAAAAGAATACACGAGAGCTTGTGATCATGTCTATAGAATAAAGATAATCCAACCTCAGCTACAGTAATATTTTTACAAAACAACCATCAAGTCAAAAATGCAAGAAAATTATTTTTAAAACTATATAAAATTGATTATTGTCGGCTGTAGGCCCCTGAATGGCGTGGGCCCTCCGCATTGCGGGATTTGGCGGCACTGTAGTTCCGCCCCTGTACATATGCTATTCTAGCTTCGCAAAATCCGCATTTAGATAAGGTTTAATACCTCTCTTTGCATAAGACTAGAAATCTAATCGTTAGCTTGATTCTATATAAAATCATTAACCTTAAGATAAATGAGAGCATTGTTCCTTAATTAGATTTACACAGTTATGTTTGAAGAAAATGCAGCTTAATACAGCCATGTATTTTCTGAATTAATTATTAGAACAACCAAAATCTACTGTACGTTTGACCTTAAAGCGTATTAACATTTAGAATCTATATGGACAGCCTATTACATGTAGACCAACATATTTAATATTTAAGTGTAATTTAAAAAAAAAGCCTTCTAAAATATAACATCTTCTCCTTTCCATTACTTTTTTGTTACATATTGGTTGTCACACCACTGGGGAGGTAAAAATGGAAATAAGTTTTTTTCTCTTGCAGCCGATAAATCTATTTCCAAAGTAAAATTAGGTGGTCTAGTATTGAATCAAACGAGATATAGAATTTCGGATGATTTGACAACAAACAGCGGGAATCGCCGATTTCTATTTTTGGAATATAAGCCAAGCGGTTTTGCAAAGAAATCCAGGGGATTTCCCAACACAGAACAGGCGTACGTGTCGTTTTTTTGTGCTTGACTGGCATATAGATAGAGCTTTGACCATCATAATATTTATAGACCTATTATTGTAATTCTTATTGAGGATTTAGTTTTTAATTTGTGTCAAATTGTGACAGTGCTTGTGATATCTAACTAAAAATACTATAAATAGTAATTTAGTAGTCCTCTAACTTATAAGTATAATATAGGCAGTAGCGTACGCAGGGGGGGGGGGGGAGCAGGGGGAGCGGCCGCTCCCCCTCTGGCCATTTTCAGCAAAGTGGCGCCTTTTTGGAAACGGTTTAAACTCAAAGTTTTAAACAATGATATTTGTTAAAAAAATATTTTTGGGCGGCACATCTATGTAAATCACAAGATTTCTTTTCATGCAGCAATTAAGCATTATTGTACTAGTCTAGTAGTGTCTCGTTTACAACACGTATTAAAAGCTGCATCAGTTTGCCATTCTAAAAATAACCATTACGATGCATTGCAATGTTTAAAAAACCTCTACTGGTAGTACCACTTGGCAAGAGGGGTGTTAAGTTTAAGGCAACTGTATAATGTATTTGCTTATTTGCTAAAAACTGACGCTATGCTTACTCTGAGTCGGTTATCTCCTCATTGAATATATCCTCTCCGGTAACAGTGTCATACATGCTGTGTAGAGAAGCCAGCTCTTATGTTATGTTCATTTCTTCATTCACGCCTCTAATGAACACAAGAAGTTGAGAGGTGGAACAGCTGTCCAGCGATTCATCCATTGCAATTGAAAAATGGCGAAACTTGCTTGCATGTTTCGTTATTTGAGTCACAATGTTTTCACCCATGTCTGCAACACGGTGGGCGATTGTATTTGCACCCAAAGCTACATTTTCAAATTGTTTTGACTTGTCTGGACAAAGTTCCTCAGCCACCTTCAACAAACATTCCTTCACTACTTCACCATCTGTAAACGGTTTGCCACTTTTAGCCAGGACATAGGCAACATTATAACTGGCCTTTGTTAAGGCTTCGTTTTCATTTGAGGATTTATTGATCAACGTCCTCTGAGATGTGAGTTGATTTTTTAATTTAGAATATGTTTTGGCACGGACTTTACCCTCCAACTGTGCATATTTACCCTGATGTTTGCTTTGATGATGACGGCGCAGGTTGTATTCTTTCATCACAGCCACGGTTTCATTGCAAATCAGACACAGTGCTTTATCTCCGGATTTTATGAAGAAGTATTTCAAATTCCATTCTTCTTGAAATTGCCGACACTCATCGTCTATTTTCCTTTTCTTCTTCTCGGCCATCGATGAGAGCTAAAAATAAATGAATTCAACGTGAAAAAAATAGTGAAACACCATATCGCTTAAAAAAAACACCTGATTATGCGACGCCCAAAGATGCTGTAGGCCTCAGTTTACGCTGGATACCCCTTGGTTACGACCTAGCTAAGTGTAAGAGGCGTCGTAGGGCCTAACATGAAACCTTTGCAGGGCTGTACTCAAACGCTTCCGAAATTTTCATGGCGATCGGATGAAAGACGTCGTGATGCGTAATAATTACAAAAACGTTTTTTTTTATATGTGTCAGCTCAAGCGTTGGATAACCTCCTGATTTAGGGGCCATCCACAACATGTCACGTTTTTTAAACAACTCACAAAAAGCCTGAACCTCGCCCCTAAATGACGTCATTTGGTAACAGTAAATGACTATAAATGGTGTTCAATTTATTTATTTACTAATGGTTAACCTTTTCTAAACAATATAAAAATTATCCTACCTTGTTTGTTCTGTGAATCAGATGCACCAAATACTATGCAAGTAAAAAATTGTCTGCTGACCAGTGCTTGCTAGTGTCTGACAAAATTTGAAGTGGCGAATGCGCGGTTAGGAAGTTGACAAACGATACATTTATCTCTATTCGATACTTGCTATGCTAGAAAGAGGGGTGGGATGGGGGTCGGCTCGGGAAAAAAACATGAAAAAGACAACAAAGCGCCGATGTACGTCAGAAGTTTGGGATGGTACTTTTCCAAAAGTCAATTATAAAACTTTCTCAGGGGAGATAATTCAAAGTATAGGCACTACAAGCTTACTATGACATTTCTTGTAAAAGTAAAAACAAGTAAACGTATGTAGAACCTAAGTTTCTAGTATTATATTATTTTTGATAATTTGTAGGATACAGAATAGTACAGGATAGAAGCTATACGAAAATCACAAACACATATTTTACATTGAAAATATACAACGGACTTCGGGCCCCTAACCAATGCCAAAAAGAAGGAACGTACATCATGAAAGCCCAGTATATTTCTAGCGGCTTCTCGAGCTAGAGACTTTGTTGTTGTTTTTTTCAAAGAATTGTGCCGACGACAGCGTGTTTTATTTTAGAAGTAAGATAGCTCGGATGAAAGCCCACTACATATCTAGCGGCTTCTCGAGCTAAAGTTTTTTTTTTTAAAAGAATTATGCCGACGTCAGTGTGTTTGATTGTAGGTTTTTTTTTCTACCTAAACAATAAAAAAACTGGTTTCGGCAGATATGTTTGGGTTTTTATTGCTGAGGACGGCAAAACAAAAAAAAAAGGTCCGTAATTTTTTCCGCAGCTAAAAAGATGTCCGCGGGCCGGATAAAACAGCCTCGCGGGCCGCATCCGGCCGCGGGCCGTAGTTTGGAGACCCCTGGTGTAGAGTGTAGGCTGTTATTAATACTAATAGTTTCGCTGTCTGTCTATCTGACAAGAACGCTCTGTCTGACAAGAACGCTCTAGAGAAAACACAAGGAAATTAAAAACATGCATAGTATTTCGAAAAACGAAGTATGACGTCGACACATTTAGCACAGAGTAGAAAATAATCTCAAACCGGAGAGTAAACATTGAATAAAAAGGAAATTTTGTCTTATCTAAGTGGTTTGCGTGAAGAGTTTCTTTCATACAATTCTTCGGGTAGGGGCGAAGCCCCACCCCCGCGTAAGAACGTCTAAGCCCCCCCCCCTCCCTAACTCAAAAGAAATTTCTTCATCGATACTCTATAATAAAATTACCGCCTAATTAATGTGTCTAATCTAAAAAGTGGTTTTCTTGCAATTTCTTTAATGCAATTCTTCGGGTAGTGGCTAAGCGCGACACCAGTGTTTCTTTCAGACTTTTTCCTCCCCGGAGAGGGGTGGGGGTACTTGAAATTTTCGGGGGCGGGGGTAGAATTTTCTGGGAGGGGGCGGACACTGGAAAAAGTATATAATTATATTTCGTTGAATGGGACGGTAGACATGTTTTTTTTTTTGGGGGGGGGGGGGTGTGGGGTGGGGTCGGGGGGCGGTGTGTGGGGTGGGGGTGGGGGGCGGTGTGTGGGGGGGAGGGGGGTGGTGTGTGTGGGGGGGGGGGGTGGGGGTGGTGTGTGGGGGTGGGGGTGGTGGGGATGGGTGGTGGTGTGTGGGGGGGTGGGTTGGTTTTAGTTTAGAGAAAAGAGACAGCACTATCAGCCTAGCGCCCGTTGTACCCTTCCTCAACGGGCCATTTTTCTCGTTTCGAATGTTTTACTATTGTATCGAAAAGCGTGGTTCTATACCAACTCTGATTTTCAAAACTTTTATTATGCTGTAATACTTTAGCATTTATGATGACGATATATTAAATTCTGATTATAGACAAAAACATTTTGTAAAAACGAATAGTGTTAAGCAATTTAATTATATTCTTAAGTAATTAATTATTTGTTTTGACATTTATAATTAAATGTGCAGATATATACATATTTATATTAAGAGAGCGATTATTTCCCCTATTACACTTGTCTTAAATAATTTCCCAGGAATTATTATGTAAGAAACTTGTTTACAAGAATTACAAAACAGATTGTGTTACGTTCATTGTTTTTGGTTGCAGTGTGTGTAGATTTTTTTTTGTTTGTTTAGATTGATACAATTTTTGTTTTGTCGGCCTACATTATGTGTTTTTTCTCATTTCTTCAGAGTGCTACTTTCAATTTATTTTACATCATAGCGAAGTAATGACATACAGCTGGTAATTATATATATATATATATATATATATATATATATATATATATATATATATATATATATATATAATATATATATATATATATATATATATATATATATATATATATATATATATATATATATATATAATACACGTATATAGAACGTGTTAAAAATTCTGCGCCTTTTTTTGCTCTTTTCGCTCCCCCTACAACGAAAACCTGGATACGCCTCTGAATATAGGCCTTCTAAATTAAAATAGGTTTCTTAACTCTTAAGGCATATTGTATTAGTTAAGAAACTAAGAATAAGTAATGCTTATTTTTTTTATTACACTAATATAAATAATACTATAAAGCCTACTATTGTAGAGCGTCCAGTCCAAGTTTTCAAATTTTTATTGAAATGGATCACCCAACACAGAAACAAATAAAATTCCTTAATCAAAAGCTGCAGGTTTTAGATGAGGAGAAATGTCTGTTACAGAGGAGAATCGAAGACTATGTTACACAAGTATGTCGAGCCTTCTGTTCTTTTTTATCATTTTCTTAAATTTATTTTACACGTTATAAAATTCGAAAGTTTGATGAATTGTTACAACGTTATCCAAGGACTTTTATTAGGGCCAATAGGCTAAACTATTTATACTTAAATTATACTAGGTTGAATTATGGATTTTTTAAAATAAAATATTCTGTTATTTCAAATACACCATTAAGTTCCTTACCCCTTAAGAGAACATTTGACACCACATTTAAATATCTAGCTTATTCGGTTGACGAGAAAAAAGAGAATTTGAAAATTTAGCTAGAATGGAAAATGAATTCAAAACAAGAATCTTGCTCCTGGACCGGCATAACATGACGCCGTGAACTTGTGTGCACGAGCTTTTAATTCCCGCCATGGTAATTGCGTCAGCTTCAGGGGCGGAACTACAGTGCCGCCAGACCCCGCAATGCGGGGGGGCCCAGGCCATTTAGGGGCCCAAAGCCGACCAGAATCAACTTTTTTATAATTAAAAAAAAACGTTTTTTTGCAAAACAAACAAACAAACAAACAGATCTACTACAGTAGTGACGTTCTACAGTAGCTAACACACTCTGTTTCATAAAAAAAACATATATAGCTACATGAGTTGTAGTGTGAAAGATAGGCAAACGTTCAAACCATTTCCATGATTTATTTCACTTTTTTAAATAGTCAAATATGTGTGCTCTTAATTAAGAAACTTTTTTTTTTGCACTAGACAGATAAAAAGCAATTACTTTTCTTAATTATTATTTTAAAAAAATTCACAATAAAGAATGACATAGTCTAAAAGGAAATTTATTAAAAACTAATAATATAAATAAAAAATACTTAAAAATAAACATTAGGCGAGAAACCATTACACATACAAAGCTTTCATGCTTCATATTCTTTTGACCAACTTGAAAATTGGGAAGCATCATGTCAGACATTGAAATAAAGAATTTCCAACCAGACTAATAGCACTGACACAAATGATGTGTTGTTGTAATATGTTTTAATTAAAAAAAAACTGAAAATTTTAATTTTTTTCAAATTTCGAACAAGCCCGTATTGAGTATTCTATTTGCGTATCGAGTTTATATATATATATATATATATATATATATATATATATATATATATATATATATATATATATATATATATATATGGGGCCCAACAAATTTTTTTGCGGGGTGGCTCTTTTTTTCTAGTTCCGCCACTGGTCAGCTTAGGTCATTTACTCACCGGAAAATAACAAAAAGCAACTGGTTGATAATAAAACTTAGATCTAGTTATTTTATTATTTATTAAATTCTACTCTACATTTTATTCATACCATTTTAAGAAATAATGAACACCTACATAAATCAAACGACCATAATAAATATTTTTATTTCAAATTATAATTTTAAATAATAAATATGCATAAAATAATATGATAGTAATAGTTAAGATAGTTTATAAATGCAAATACATTTTACACTCAATCACATTATATTGAGTCAACAGTGTGGCAGCTGAGGTTCATACATGGTATTAGTGTCTTTTTTTTTACATTACATTTTTTTTCATCTTGAAAACATGACGTATGTGATTTTTTTTAAAAATAAAATCTCCAAACATCGTCACTCGCGTGATTGCTTGCTTATGTTTACTATCCTGCGGATGAAAAATCCCACCACGGTCGCGGGGTCACCGTGACTTCAGCAGGCCTACAGTACACGTCATAGAATGAACACGCGTACACGAGATGGTCGGTGTCTTCACTTCTCTCTCTCTCCCCCCCCCCTCTTCTTCAAGCAAATTGAAAAAGAGACCTACTTCCCTACTTCTGGTCATTTTTTTTTAGTTCGGTCATTTTTTTTAAGTTCGGATATCAGGCATGCTAGACAGCCAGCTGTATAAAAAATATTTTTTAAACTAGATCTACGTCTAGCTTAAAAAATAAATAAATAAACGCTCTTAAAATGCCCGTAAACAGATTATTTAGCGCCAAAAAAAAGGCCGCTGAACGAGCATTTTTTACAATACGCAGCAATGAAAAAGGCTAACGGCCAATCAATTAAGTCTAAAAATCGCCCGTAATTAGGCCTAGCTCTGAAAAAGGCCACTGAACGAGCAACACTGATTATATAAACGAATAGGCCACGCGGCTTTGACGAGGTCAACCACCGGTCACGAATGCAGCAACGGTCGGCCCACAGTGAAGAAAAAATCAATATATTAATAAAATTACTAATACAATAATAATGTCTATAATTTTACTTTTTCCACACATGCTATAATTGATTTATAATTAAAATACTAGACTTAACAGTTCATTCCGTAAAAAACAAAAACTAGTTGTTTCAGTCTGGCAACTAGCGTAACAATGACGTCATGATACTTAAAATAGCGGATAGAAATGTCAGCGTGGGTACCTCATCCTCGAGGAAGATTTTAGAAAAAGTAATCAAAAATACTGTAAATATACATGATAAATATATCAATTATATATTAATGTACAGTTAGTCGAGCCGTTTTCCCCGTTAGTCGGTCGTTTTTGGCGGCGGTTCAGTTTTTACGGAGAGTGCTCCACTAGAAATCCTCTCATTATTTACAACCACGAATCTTGCGATTTTTTCTGGCATTCTAAGGCATATTATCCATTTTATTAGCAATTTGCATTAAAATAATGATGAGAATTTGCGATATAAACAGTTTTTTCATTTGTCGTGGATGGGACCCCTAAAATAAACGGAAAAACCGTCAGAAAACGATGCGTGACGTTTCAGGGTCAGAGGTCAATCCTGCCATCTAAGCAATGCGCCAGACTATAGATGTAGGCAAAATACACCCCCTCTGCAAATGTTTGTGGCCATTGTATAAAGTATAATGTATGTAGTATGTAGCCTGTATTCATACATAGTATTATGAATGCACTACAAGTAAACACACACATTTTAAACTGTTGTTTTGTAGACTACCTCTGTGACAAGGTTTTTGGGAAAAATGTATTTGATAAAATTATTTCAACACACATTTTGTTGGTTTTATTGTATAAAGTTATTTTATTTTTTAAATAAACAACAAATTTATTTGAGTCTGGCACAGATATCCTTGTTTTCAAATCAATTAATCATCAGATAGGCCTTAGTTACCAATGTTTTGCTACTTAATATCATTTTGCAGAACAAAACTAAAAAAATGTCACATTTGAAATTGTTTAGTAAAACATTTTTTTTGTTAGTACAGGCTAGAAAATTAAAGGTGTTAATTGGTGTAATGTATTTGTATATATATATATATATATATATATATATATATATATATATATATATATATATATATATATATATATATATTATTTATTTATCTATATATATAATATATTCTTTTTGAATGTATATATTGTGTTTAAAATATAAAAAGTACACAAGTCATCTATGTATGTTATCTAGGTTAAACAAGATACAATGTTGTGGATAGAAGGCCACCATGAAAAAGATTTATCACTTATTCGAAGCATGATTGACACAGCTACAGTCAAGTTAGTGGACACCTATGATGTGTTTGCTGTTGATATAGGTATATCTAACTATCATCATTGGTAGATATAATTTAATTATTACCAAACTGCTTCTTCTTCTTAGTCCGGTTCGAACTCAAGACACATAGGGCAGATAAAGTAGAGTTCTTCTGACTCATAGACCTTGGTGTATGAAGTGATAGTGTGGCCAGCACTATGCCTTGTTGTCTTACCAAGCACTAAACATATATTAAAATAGAATATTAAGTGCATGAACTCATTTAAAAGTAACATAAGGGCGCTTAATATTTAATGATTATTTTTTGGTTTCACATAATTGTTTTATTAATAAAAAAATAGCCTCAGACTTTCCAGGTTATCTAAAAGTCTGTTCATATTTGTTTTTAAGTAACTGGCTTAGGCTACATGTTAGAACCACATTCAGTACAGTTGGCTAAAATATTTACTACTATTAGTATTGTCATGTTTAGGTCATGCTTCCGCACAGTTCGCCGAAGAAGATCATACTATACCATCTGATCTTCCAAAGACTGGCATACCTATATCAAATAATGAGACCAAAGGTAAAGCAATATAAATCCCAACTATTTAATTTTTACTAAATAAAAATTAAACTTCTATTCATTCAGACAATGTTTTATTCTTAATATTTTAAATACATTTTTCTAAACATAAATACATCAAGTATAAATCCAGAACTAAGAAAGGAAATAGAAACTCTTCTTAGCAAATTTAATAATGAAAACATGGAAGCATTGTCTTGCTTAAAACATCAGCTTGAAGAACTTAAAAAAGTGAAACAAATAACTCAAAATTGATTAAACAGCATAAAAAGAAGCTACAACATAATATTAACCTGCTTTTAGAAAAGGAAGAAAAATTGGAAACAGAAATTGAGATTTTGAAAGAAAATATCCTACCTCTACAAGAGCAAGTGAATTCTATACAATCAAAAATGAAAGGCTTAACAATGCTTGAAAGAAAAATGAATTCAAATGAAGATATTCTAAACACTTTAAGCTTAGATGTTAAAAGTTGTAACATGGCAACTAGTGCATTAAAACTAGATTTTTGTAAGGAAACAGATAGGATTTCAGATTTACATCAATCTACAAATACATTTTTTTCAAAAGCTGACAGTTCATTTGCACAATCTGAGAAAAATGTAGGTATATACTTGCCTAATTAACTAAGTAGTTAAAATAATGGCCTTTAGAAAATTGTACTAGTACTTTACTTGTTTGTGGCAAAATCATAATTATGTTAAGATTTTTTAAACAGTCACCTTGAGTAGCTGTCCTAGTATATAGTTGAATAGCATATGTTTAATATTTTAGACCTTTTTTTCTAGTTTAAGGTTGTGTACACCTTACTTTCTTCCCATCTTGTGAAGTTGGAACAATCCAAAGATTTATTTCAAGCAGGTTTGGAAAAACGTAAAGAAAATGTAATGCAGGTATGCACAACTTTATGATTGTCTGTAATGTTTTAAAATTTCTTTTAATTAAAACCGATAATGCCTGTTTCATATTGTAATTCAGACTAATTATAGCTAGTTTTACAATGCTAATTTTTTCTATATATGAAGCAGGCATTTTTTTAATAAGACTTTTATTATATTCTTCAGTTTGAAACTATGAAAGAAAGTCTCTGCAAACTGCAATGGAAAACAATCAATGTAAGATTTCAACCATAATTGTTTTTTATTCTATAATATCAAAAAATTGTTATAACCATCAATTTGACTTACCAGAGTTTATTTCACAATAAAAATATACTTAAAATAGCAAGCACACGAGATACAGATACCTAGATGTCCCTTGGGAAGTTCAAAGTTCAATAAAATAAAAACCAAACAAAAAACAGCCTACTTTATATTTTATACTTTGGAGGAAAATCTGTAGACATTCTAGAGTTTGAAACTCTGTGATTCTGACTGAATGTTTAATGGGTGGGTTTGAGGTGAATCAGTTCCTTACCTGTTCTACAATTTGAATCATGACTATCAAATTCTAAATTATTTTTAAGCATTTGCAGCATGTTTTCAAATTAAATGACACAAATAAAATACTTTTTAAATCAATGTTTCTTTATAGTCTCTGTAATAGAAGTTAGTGTATCACTTACAGATTAAATGTTGGGAATGATTTCTTACACAGATTATGAATTTTCTATTATGAGGGGAAAAAATTTGTAAACAGTTTTTGGATTTTGAGCTACTTAATATTATTCTAGTTGAACATACACATAATTGACTCATTGAAACATTTCTCATTCATCTCTTATATTCTTATTTTATATAATTTTGTATTATAACTATGTAATATTATTTCTTTATTCCACATGTTTAGTGCTATGTTACTGCTATGTCGGTAATATGCAAATGCTTTTTTTAAATGCTGTTATTAAATTGTTGATTTAAAACGGCCAATGTGAAATAAAGGCCCTCGTGCCTACTATTGTTGCCGTAATTGATTAAATAAATAAATAAATTAAAAAATGTGATTTTATTATTACAGCTGAACATACAAATTGATGTGATTTTATTGTTACAGCTGAACATACAAATTGATATGAATTTATTATTACAGCTGAACATACAAAGTAATGTGATTTTATTATTACAGCTGAACATACAAATTGATATGAATTTATTATTACAGCTGAACATACAAATTGATGTGATTCTTGCTGGAGATGATGGAGTTGGGAAAACATCTACAGGAAACTCAATCGTTGGAAGGTCCAGGTTTGGAAGGTCCCACATCAGTGATCAAACTAAAATCTTTGAAGTGTTTAGCACTAAAATTGATGACGTAAAGCTTACAGTCACTGATCCTCTGCCTAAAAGTTACCAACACTCCATTATGAGAAAAGCTGATCCCCAATTTAAAAGATCTTATGATCCTCTCTTTAGAGTTATTGAGGGTAATACATTTCATGTGTTAATTTATTTGGTTAGATTTGGTTCAGAAAATGATGCCTCTTTATATGAAGAGATAAAAAAGAACTATAAAGGCAAACTATTTTACAACAATTGCATCATTGTCATGTGCGGAGGAGATGAGTTTTATAAACAAAATCCTTCCTTAAAGTTTGAAAGTTGGTGTGAGAGGCAAACAGGAATATTTGCAAACATGTACAAAGATTGTAACAAAAGAGCAGTTTTGTTTGATAATGAAACTGACTCAGCTGGTAATATGAAGGAGCAACAGACTAAGTTATTGAAAGCAATTCTTCAACTACCAAACCAGGGAAAGACGTTTAAAATTATTGATACTGATTGGCCTTTTAATAAATGCGCCCAGCAATAATGTAATAAAAGGCTTACATTACCTGTCTTTTATTTTATGTGCGAAAACTAACTAAATGCTATAAAATATTTACAAATGTTAAAACTACAATTAATATTGCAATTTTCAGTGTTGTTTTGTATTTATGTCTACTATGTACCTTTATAAATAAAAGGTGGTTTACTGGTCAGCTTGTAGTCATCATAGTTTCAAAAAGTTATTTCAACTGTAATGTTGTCCGGGATATACCACATTCTGAACTATATGTTTAACATTAATTAAGCTCATTCATTTTCCACCTACTCTAGTCAGGAACCCATCTAAATTTAATTTACTATAAAAAATAAAAGAATTTACCTCCCTGAAAAATTGCACCAATTTTCCATTTCTCGTCGATTTTATGTAGTACTCAAAAATTATGTTTCAGCTTTCTTATTTGAATAGTCAACAACTCTTTTTCACTCATGCATTCTATATAGACCTACTTATCCGGAATTATGTGTATTACTGCCCTTTCTTTGTCCAGCACCTCTTAAATGTACCTTAGTAAATTAATAATCTTTTTTTTTTTTTTTTAATAATAAAATAACTAAAATATATCAACACAGTTATATTATAATTTTTGATTTAACACTAATACTTGAGATTGAATTATAGTTAGAAAAACTTCTGTGTGACAACTTGTTTTAAAGAGCATCGTAATAGATTAAAATATTTTGATACATAGAAGTTATGTTGGTTTGAATCAAGCGTTGTTTTTATTTAAATATTGTGATCATCACACTGCTCTATTACTTATCCTTTAAAAGGTTGTCTTATTGAGTAATAAACTTGGGTTCATAAAAAGAATACACATTTATTTCTTTTAACCGCGTTTACACTTTGTTGTTGTTAAATGAGTGTAAAAGTTTCACGTAAAGTGTTATCAATTCGTAGCAATATTTAGTTAATTACTAATTATACGGTATGTGTATACATTTAATTATATGGTTTAAATATTTCCGTAATATAGCTAGAAATCAAAAGTGTAACAAGACCGGCCAATTATGTCACTAAATTCTCTCAGTGTAGAAATCATACGTGTTCATTCCACTGAATGAAGTACCTACTAAAACATACGTGTTCATTCCACTGAATAAAGTACCTACTAAAACATACGTGTTCATTCCACTGAATGAAGTACCTACTAAAACATACGTGTTCATTCCACTGAATGAAGTACCTACTAAAACATACCTTTACATTCCATTGAATGAAGTACCTACTAAAGCATACGTGTTCATTCCACTGAATGAAGTACCTACTAAAACATACGTGTACATTCCACTGAATGAAGTACCTACTAAAACATACGTGTACATTCCACTGAATGAAGTACCTACTAAAACATACGCGTACATTCCACTGAATGAAGTACCTACTAAAACATACGTGTTCATTCCACTGAATGAAGTACCTACTAAAACATACGTGTTCATTCCACTGAATGAAGTACCTACTAAAACATACGTGTTCATTCAAAAGAATGAAGTACCTACTAAAACATACGCGTACATTCCACTGAATGAAGTACCTACTAAAACATACGTGTTCATTCCACTGAATAAAGTACCTACTAAAACATACGTGTACATTCCACTGAATGAAGTACCTACTAAAACATACGTGTTTATTCCACTGAATGAAGTACCTACTAAAACAGACGTGTACATTCCACTGAATGAAGTACCTACTAAAACATATTTGTATATTCCACAGAATGAAGTAACTACTAAAACATGCGCGTACATTATTCAGTATTTTCTGCTAACATCGCTTTTGCAATCCAATCAACGAACATAATTAGTCGTAATGTTAGCTTTACGATAAGTATTCTATCATGATCAAGGTAAAGAACAGTTCGGAAACATCAATAGTAGACTCCCAACAGGCTATGTGTTATGCTTCACAGGCTTTGTATCAAAATGTATAAGCCTTATGTCATGCTTCATATTCCTTGTGTCATGCTTTATCGGCCTTATGTCATGCTTTATAGGCCTTGTGTCATGATTTATAGGCCTTATGTCATGCTTTATAGACCCTGTGTCATACTTCACATTCCTTGTGTCATACTTTATAGGCCTTCTGTCATGCTTTAAATAACTTTTTCAATACTTTATAGACCTTGTGTCAGGGGAGGGTGAACTTGTCATTGTTCAAAAGTTTTTTATTTCCTTAACGGTTTTAAACGTAGCTTTCAACAGCACTGCTATAATAGTTTTTGAACATCCTTCCTATCATGGTTAAACGTTGCTTCGAAAATCACAGATTGAACTTTTAACAGAATGTCGTACTCAGGTGGTAAATCTTTAGAAGTCACGAGTTTGAAAACCCGAACCCGGTACGCTACGGATCACATAACCGTCGGGGTACCGACTGACCCGCCTGATTTGGTTAAGTTATAGAAAGTATTGTCCTACCGTGTCCCTACTGCACGACAATGTCCGACATAGTACTCACGTGTAACCCCAAGTGAAAATTTTGTTACTACTTTCAATTTCAGCAAGAATAATTCACACCATCACACGCACAATTTTAATGTCGTGCGAATGTACTTGTACTAAACTTATGTGAATTTAATGTAATAAGCATTTAAGTATCAATATTTTAAATTAGAAACATTTTTTCCCCAAATTCATGTGTTATTATCAAAAAGACATAATACATATTGTAAATATAATTATGATATTTATTATATATGTAAAATAAAAATTATAAACTATTTTACAATTATTTTAATACATTATGTTTTATTAATGTAAACTATATATTTCTTAAAACATTTTTATTACATCTTGACTAATTATATTTTGACAACTGCATTCTTTACTTCAATTATCTAGAGACTTGAAAATTCAAGTCGAATACATAGTATGAAATGGCTGGATACCATAATAATATACTCTATAAAAAGGAAATCAGAGATCCAGATCTAGATCTAGTTCTAGAACCAGACGTTAAAAACAACAATTTAAAAGAACAAAATAAATTCAATATGCCAAACATATCTGCAAGAAATCCTTGGGTTATCGTTGAGTGTAGTACTACTTCAAGCATTTGAAATTGTTTAGGCCGGCTTCTTAGTATCTCAGAACACCCTGCGTCGTTATTCTCTGTTGATCATGCCGTTGAGGATAGTAGTACATCAAAAATACTTTAAAAAAAACTTTTTAAAAAACCACGTTTTTCTTGTGGACTAAAAAGTAGAAAATAAATTTTTCTTTTGTGCTTCCTCGAGCTGTGCAGGTTCTTGTGATGACTGACAAAAAACGTGGGTACGTTCACCATCAAATTTCCCGACCTATCTGCCCGACCCACGTTTTTTGTCAGTCATCACAAGAACCTGCACAGCTCGAGGAAGCACAAAAGAAAAATTTATTTTCTACTTTTTAGTCCACAAGAAAAACGTGGTTTTTTAAAAGTTTTTTTTTAAGTATTTTATTTTCTCCTTTTTAGTCCGTTGCTACACATGAAAAACGTGGTTTTTAAAAAGTTTTTTATATAGTTTATTTTCTACTTTATCTAATGACTTGATTAAGTATGACTTGACTAAGTGTTTATAAATACACGGACTAAAAATCTTGAGCGACCGATACGCTTTAAACAGAGAAAGGGCGTAATTTAAGTAAGCCTACATGCCGTGACCAGGATTCGAACCTGGGTTTTCGCGGCCACAACGCGAAGTACTAACCACTATACGATCACGGCCAGCGCGTTCACATCGATTGGGGCCGAAGTAACTGTGTCAATAGGCCTCCAGTCTTGTCGGTATGTTTAGAAATCATGTCCTCGATTTTATGGTCCTTGGGGCGTAATTTAATTAAGCTAATTTAGGTCTCTAATTGCTAGTTTTTATGATTGCATCTGAAATTGTTAGGCGAAAATAGCCTGCATTCCAAATTTCAGATCTCTAGAGCAATCAGAAGTGGGCTAATTTTCGATGTCAATTTTAACAACAAACATCCAAACAAACAAACAAATAAACGCGAAGCTGAGTTAACAAAAACGTGTTAAACACGCGTTAAAAAATTTGTCAAACTACAGAAAGACTTTAACATTACACTAACAGTGGTTAAAATCTGTTTCCATTTATACTGCTATAACAGCTAAACGTGTTTAAAAGATCAAGTTTGTGTTTAACAGCTGTGATACCGGTTCTGATACAAAACCAATCTTAAAGAAAGGTAAGTCCAATGTCCTAGCTAAGGTAAGGGTTAAGGATAGTCTAAGATAATAATAATGACTTTTTAAAAGAATAAATATTGAAAATTGGAACTTAATTAGTGATAATTTCGACGAACCTAATGTAATAGTGAGGTAGATAATCTCGACGAACCTAATGTAATAGTGAGGTAGATAATCTCGACGAACCTAATGTAATAGTGAGGTTGATCATCTTAACAATCTGGGGCCTTTTTTGAATGTTTAAATTATTTCTACAGTAGAAAAATCAACTTGATTTCTATTTTCTTTTTAGAATTGTTTATATAAAATGAATATTAAAATTTATTAACTTCTTTTTTTAAGAAGGAAAAGGGCTCTAAGTGCCTTGAGCCCAGAGGCGTATCCAGGTTTTCGTTGTAGGGGGAGCGAAAAGTGACAAAAAAGGCGCCGAATTTTTAACACGTTCTATATACGTGTATATATATATATATATATATATATATATATATATATATATATATATATATATATATATATATATATATATATATATATATATATATATAATTACTAGCTGTTTGTCATTACTTCGCTATGATGTAAAATAAATTGAAAGTAGCACTCTGAAGAAATAAGAAAAAACAATGTATGCCGACAAAACAAAATTTGTATCCGTCTAAACAATATATATATATACATATATATATATATACACTACAACCAAAAACAATGAACGTAACACAATCTGTTTTGTAATTCTTGTAAAAAATTTCTAACATAATAATTCCTGGCAAATTATTTAAAACAAGTGAAATAGGGGAAATAATCACTCTCTTAATATAAATATGTATATATCAACACATTTAATTATAAATGTCAAAACAAATAAATAATTAATTTAGAATATAATGAAATTGTTAAACACTATTCGAGTTTAAAAAATGTTTTCGTCTATAATCAGAATTTAATATATCTTTATCATAAATGCTAAAATATTACAGCATAATGAAAGTTTTTTAAATCAGAGTTGGTATAAAACCACGCTTTTCGATAATATAGAAAAACATTCGGAGTAACAGCCTACATTTAACTAAATATTGGTCTTTAGTTCAGATATTTTTAATTAACTACTGCTTCTTTGGGTTCTTTAAAGATCATTTTTTAACATAGTGATAGGTATGGGTTAGATCACTGTATTGATCACACACCTTTTTACTGGTAATTGCAAAAACAATATTCACAGAGTTTTACGTTTAAAAAGCTAATTTTCTGGCGGCATGGTACTTAGGTACATCATTCGCGTTTTTCTACATGTACTTAACAGATCTTTCAGGGTTGGTTGGGGGGGGGGGGTCAACTTCATTCACCACTGTCCGTTCACTTTAGGTCAATTATCCAACCCAGTTTATACCTTGGTGTGACATTAATGTCGCTCTACACAATTGTGGTGAGGTGGGGGGGGGAATAACCAACTCAGAGTGAACTTAGCGACAACTTTTAGATGACTGTTCTAAACATACATATATATAACACAAATATATATTACACACATATATATTACAT